TGTTCTTATCGGGTTGTACGGCGGTTGTCTACGTGGCCCGGATGTGGTCTGGGGCGTGACATGCTTGTCACTAGTACTTCCATGGAGTACTGACCCCTTCGGGGGCCCTCACATATTTCAGGTTAAGGCTAGAGTCCTACTACCCGCACCTTTGCCTAGGGTGATTGATCAAGACGGAAGACATGGTTCGTGCTTCCATTCTTATTTCAAATTTATAAACTGCTCATGGATTTTCGAACAATGTTTTCCTTAAAACAGTTGGGGGCATGGGTGCCTGTGTTTGCCACGTGTGGTTAAGTATCAAACATATTATTCTTTCCGCATTTGTTTGATTATGATATTGATGTTGATTGTATGTGTTTACTAATCGGTTTGGCAATAGAATCAATCGGACGCCTTGTACAATTCAATAGGGATGAACTGGTTTTGTTCTTATCGGGTTGTACGGCGGTTGCCTACATGGCCCGGATGCGGTCTGGGGCGACCTAGCTTCGGAGGCGGAGACCTGAAGACGGAGCTGCGTGGATCTGGATTTGCGAAGGACAAATGGGAGAGAGTCAGGAGAAGATGGGTTCGGTTAGGATCCTATGGAGAGCGATTTTCTTTAGGCTAAAGGGTCAAATAGGTCCCTGTACTCATATCAATAGCTCAATTGGGTACCCGAACTAAAAAAAGGTCCAATCCAATCCTTCAACTCTTCAAAATCGTTCAATTTGACCCTTTAGCCGGTAAACTCCCGGTACTCAATTGAGCTATTGATATGAGTACAGGGACCTATTTGACCCTTTAGCCTTTGAAAAACGAAAAAATTGAACGATTTTGAAGAGTTGGAGGATTGGATTGAACCTTTTTTTAGTTCGGGTACCCAATTGAGCTATTGATATGAGTACAAGGACCTATTTGACCCTTTAGCCTTTTCTTTATTGTTTGTTTATTGTTTACTTATTGTCTATTTATTGTCTATTTAATGTCTGTTATTTTTTAAAAGTAAGGGTATTATGGTCAATGCAGGTGTAGTTGAGTTTTACTCTAATCTTCGATCTTAGTTTTGAAAAATTAGTACGATTTGGTCCTATTTGGTCAATGCAAGTGTAGTAAGGGTACTACTACTAACTACTTGTAATAGATAGGCACGGAGATAGACTTATGAGCCTACTCGCCTGGTTAATATTTTAATTTTTGAGCTTTATTGATGGATCCTTTATTACTAAGCCAGGGTGTGTCCATGCTAGTTTTGACATATTTTGCTAAAATCTCTCTCCCCTACCCTTGTCATTTGGTTGGGGTGAGGGAGGTAGGAATGGTAGTTACTATTCTAGGTAGCACTAGCTTAGATAGTTATTTTTGATAAATTTTTGTTACTTAAGGATGAAAAAATGGCATGGAGTATGTATTTATATTAGTAAACTAAATAAATACCAACTACTTGGTGCATTATTGTTGGAATAAAGTTATAAACTTTCAATTACTGGGGTTATCTAATACTCCCTCCGTCTCTTATATCTTTGCCAATTTTTCTTTTTTTGTTGTTCCAAAAAATTTGCCACTTTCTCTTTTAATCAATCAATTTGTGGCTCCTGTTATTTTTCTCTCCTCTGCACAAATATCTGCAACACTGTTTTTACTTTATTCTTCTACGTGCCGGTCAAACTTGACAAACCTTTAAGGGACGAAGAGAGTATATCGGGGGTGTTTGGTAAAGAGTCTATCAACCATTTTTTGGCTGATTTGGCTATGTTTAAACTTTTGACCAGATAAATCAGCCAATAAAAGTGTTTGGTTAAATGACTTTTTCAATCAGCCTTTTGGCCCAAACAGCCAATATTTGAAAAGCCATCAAACGTAGCGTTTAGGATTGGCTTTTGAGTATCTTCCCTATACTATCCTTCCGTATCTTACTTGCAGAAAATATCTGAGGCTTCATCTTAGTCCTGAGGCTTCATATTCGAACTCTGCTAAATTATTTACTCGTAGTTCTTTACCATCCTTTTGCCTTCTTCGTCCGGCCGGGAGGATGTCTCCAGACTTGATCTCTCTGTTGGCACAATTTTTAGTCCTCTACTTCCATGTCCATGGCGGTAGATGTTTAATTTAGCTTCTACAATTTGCTACTCCGTATTACGTAGTACTGTTTAGTGTTATAGAATTAGAGATTGTCAATTATTATGCTTTTCTTTTTCTATTAAACGTCGGAATAAACTCTTAAAGAGTTTAATGCTTCAGTAAAAAAATATTAGTAAAAACAATGTTTGAAATAATTACTTCTTATTTTAATTTAAAAAATAATTGATGTCCTTAAATGTCATTTAATAAGTCATCAGCTAATTATAAATAACCATTTAACCAAACTCATTTTAAACTGCTAATATTATCGGCCAATCAAAACAGCCAACAGAATCTACTGTCATCAATCAGTCAAAAGAATCAGCCAACAGCCAACGGCCAACAGCCGATTGCCAAACACCCCCATTATGCACAGAGTATTTAAGTTTACAATAAATAAGTCATATTCTAATTTATATCTTCATGTGTTTGGATATTTTTTTATAAGTGTATTTTTTATTTAATTTTGTCGAGGAGTCTAAAATTTGGTAATTGAACCAGGTTAGAAGTTAGTAAAACGAGGGACGGAGCCAGGATTTAGTCATAGCGGGGTCAAAAAGGAACATAAAGAACAAAGAAAAAATTCTCTAAATAGGACTAAAATAAAAATAAATTTCATAAATAGGATAATCATTGTTTTATTCTCAAAATAGGACTTATTCACTCATATTTTGGCAAATTCTAATCAAATTATTTTTAATAGAACTAAATAAGATCGATTTGAGGAGTAAAACATATATTGTCATATTTTTTAATCACACACACACACACACACACACACATATATATATATATATATATATATATATATATATATATGTGTGTGTGTGTGTGTGTGTGTGTGTGTGTAATTATTTCATGTGGAATGATCGTGTCAGAATTATCTTACGGGATCCACTCCATGGATGCATACGTTTGTGGTGCTTCCGGGTGGATTTTTTTGATGAAATTTTGTAACAATGTTTTTCATGGTATGTAGATTACTCACATCAAATTTTGTTTTAAAACTCAATCAGCAAGTAGATTAAATAAATTATTGAGAAACATTGCGCCAAAAAATAAATAAAAAGCGCAGTATTTTTTCATAATTTATTTAATGGATTTCTCGATTTAAATATAAGATGAAATTCGGTGGATGTAATCTACTCTTTAAGAAATACATGTTCACAAAAGTTTATCAAAAAATTCTACTCGGAAGCATCTCAAATTCAAGCTTCTATCCGGTAATTTTAACCCAATCTTTTTTTTTTCTTATTTCATACGAAGTATGTAATACTAATACTACTAAAAAATAAAAAAGTTTGGAAGGGGTCATGGCCCCTCTAGCCATACACACACCTCCGTCCCTGAGTAAAACCCTTCATACATAATTACATAGTGTGATACTGTGATCCTATAAGTTGAAGACTTATGCTAATTTATAATTGTCAGTTTGCAATTGTCACCTACAAAAACATTCAAGTTTTGCACAGATATATTAATTTCCTTTGTAATTAAGTTTTAACTCTTAATGCTTATGTACAAAGTTCTCAAAATGATTAATTTAAAATGACGAAAAGTATTTAACTCTTTTATCTTCTTATTATAAAATTTAGCTCAATCATCTGGTACTTATAATTATCAGCTCCAATAATGCTCCATGATACGAAGTACTGTATTTGGTATCGCATTTAATTTTCCAAATTTTATCTCTAACTTTTACCTAGTAAATAGGGAAAGTTCCCGAAATAGGACTAAAACAGTTTCAAAATTTCAAAATAGGTCTGTCATGTTTTTTATTCCCAAAAAGGACTAATTACTGTCATGTTTAGAAAATACTGACATGTTTGAAATCTGGTATTGCCAAAACATGGCAACAATTAGTCTTATTTTGGGAATAAAAACATGACAGTCCTATTTTAGAATTTTCAAACTGTTTTAATCCTATCGGATTTCTAACGACTTTGAAAGATATACGGTGTTTTATTTGTACAATCAATCAACGTTACATGAATGCAGATCCAGTTCTATAAGAAACATAAAAAAGATACTCCCTCCGTCCATGAAAATACTTCCAACTTTCCTTTTTCGTCCGTTCCAAAAAGAACTTCACTTTCCCTTTTTGACAAAGAATTTGTGGTTCAAAGCAATTCTTACACATTTCTCTCTCCTCTACATAACTCTCCACCATACAAAACTCACTTTCTTAATCCGTGTGTCATTTGTACTACGGAAGTAAATTCAGAGACGGAGGGAGTATAATTTTATACGTTCTCCATATTTTATCGTATTCAACATACACTAATTAATTTAAGTTTATAGTCCAATTTACATTCTCTCAACGTACCGTCCGGTCAGAGTAGGGACCCTCGGGGTGTTATCCTTATTTTTTACTCCGTATAATTTAAGTTCGACTCTTAAATAAACAAACCTCGAAAGTTACGGAACATATCTACTCTAATTAATTCAGCATACACATGTAATCAAGAAAAAGTTTCAGTGATCGATAGATATTAAATTATTATGAGTTAATATGCCTAATTAAATTTGGATTGAAATATTATTAAAACCATATAGACGTGATGTGTGATGAGTATACTTCTATTAAAATAGAACATAACATTGAAGAATTAATCACGTATACCTACCCGGTTGTATTTTTTGGGTTAATTTTTCTCCAATTTGTCGTGAAATCGTCAAAACAAAAATAAAATATACTAGTACAAATTAAGGAAACGATTTATTTTATGTTACATTGTTTGTGTATAATTAAATATTTCCCTTAATTCGTTTATAATCAGTTTTCGTTTTCACTTTATTTGGGACTTAGGGGTCGAAATTACGTTGCATTTTCTCGTTTAATGCAGAAATCCGAAGAATAAAGGCAAAATAGAGCACATAAATGTAATTCAAAGTCTGTCTCATAAAAGAATAAAGGTAAAATTTAGGGAAATGTCTATAAAATTTATTCATTTGATTGAGATAATCAAAGTACTAATCTAATCGACTAACTATCATCATGCGGCCATGCATGCATATCATATGTATGTATATGCAAGCATTTCCATTATTCCTAGCTAATAATTAATTAATTGACTACAAATCTAATTGACTATGACTAATTAAGTCTGGATTGAGCATTGATGTTTGATAACCGGAAGGTACACCCCATCAATGCATTCATCTTTGATCTCAGCAACCAAGGTACAACACTCAGTAGAGAATGTGTAGCCTTTAGTGTCACTAAATGTGAAAGTCCCATCTTTCATGCAATTCTCAACCGCTGCAGGAGTTGAAGAGCATTTGCTTGCCATGGTCTTGGATTCTTCGACACCTTTTCCGTCATGGTGCGGTAGCCACGGCCACCGGGACCCACCCGAAGGGAGCGGCGGGAGAGCGATAGGCCATTTGAATTTAGGCAACCAAGAAGGCAATGGAGGATGTGGGAACGGCCAGTGGGGCATTGGCGGGTGAGGGAACGGCCATTTGGGCATTGGCGGGTGAGGGAACGGCCATTGTGGCATCGGCGGACGAGCGCCGATGCGTGGGAATTGTGGATGATGCCAGAAGCCAATGCTTCCACTTCGTTACTCCTTTCGTCACTAGTACTAGCAACTTTTGATTGTTTAGATGGCAAAGGAGGATGAGGCAACCACCGCCATCCACCACGGAATCCGGGATAGCGGGGCCAAAACGGGCTACCTCGAATGGGCAGATGAGGGGGCCACTGAGACCAACCACCGGCAGGCATAGGAGGGTGGGGCTTGTGAGCCCATCCCGCTGGCAAAGGAGGATGAGGATGGGGCCAGTGACCCCATCCCGCAGGCAAAGGAGGGTGGGGTCCTCGCTTCAACCAAGGGCGGGGATGCCACAAATTTTGATTTTTGAAAGGCTCATTCTCAGTAGTTGAAGTCTCGACATTCTTTGCAAAAGTATGGAAAAAGAGAAGTAGGGAAGTGAGGAGGAAAAAGAACACTTTAGGAGCCATAATAGAGTAATTAAAGAATTGGTCGATTGTGAAAATGAACTGCTCACCTTTAGGCTTTATATAGGCTCTTATTAGGGTGTGAAGGCGGGAGATGGGATATATTTTGAATTTGTGATACATATTTAATTTTTCAAGAAATAAAATAAGAGTGTTGCAAAAAAATAAATACAATATTGAGTACGTAATCATCTGCTACTTATCAATAAGTACGTACTTATCTACTTATTTTTAACATATAGATAAAGTTTTATCTTCATATAAAAATACGGAGTATATATACAACCGTCGGCTATTTAACTAAATGTAAAATTAAAAATTGCATTATAATCACAACGAATTCATCTACAATCCAAACTCAGTGTTACCGCTAGTGTTACTTACGTACGTAGTATAGTACTCCGTATATCATTGCATGTACCTACCATTTTAGTTAATTTATTATTTAAAAATGCTTATATAAATATAAATATGAAATAATTACATATATATGATTAAAATAATGGTTGTTTACAAAATTGTGACTAGTAACTAGAGTGGTGCTGAAATCATTGTAACTTATGTTCAATTTTTAAACTTAAATCATCATGACACTACATTGTAATAACTATTAGTCATATTTTTGTAAAAAAAAACTCTATAAATGTATGTTGATTTATTGAAATATATGCACCGACTAGTTATTATATATATATATATATATATATATATATATGTATATATATATAAAGGATACGGTACAGTGACATTATGTGAAGTTGAATTGTGCAATATGCGTAATTTAAATGTGCACTAGGTGAAACTGAAATGTGCAGAATAAAATGTACGATGTTATGTTATTTTTGTACCTTTTATTTTGCACATTTCAGTTTCACCTAATGCACACGTGAGTTTAAAGTTTTATTCTGCACATTTCAATATCATCTAATGCACATTTCAATTTTACCAAATGCACAATTCAGTTTCACATAATTCAATCCAACGATATAGATTCATTTTCGTTTCTCTTCTCGGAGTCCGTTCTTACCGGAACCGCTCACATATATATATTATACGACCAATAATAAATCGTGTTACATATTTTAATTTTATGTGTTATGTCAGCTATGCAAATACTCCCAATAATATGAAGTACCACGGCATGTTTTTACTAGTATCTTTAAGCATATATATTGAATCCTAATAGCTCTACACTTCTATTTTGTTTACAATTCCCAAGCATTTAATTTTGCGCACTTTTCTTAGTGTTTGTGTAGTCTCGAAGTGTTCAAATCATAATTAATACCTTTGCACGATATATTTAATGTTTTCTAATTAAACATGATTAATTAATGTTTATCATAAGATGTTTTTATTTGGATTAATTTCTGGTTTTCAGCTTCAGATCAGACCATACTGGATCAAATCAGATTTGTTCATATCAGATCCGATCAGAACAGACTTCAACAATTATAAAATACACAGAATCGGATTACATAGCTACTAAATCTAGTGGATAATATACAATAAAAAAATTCACTGGACACATATAATATGATACATGTACAAAGTACTTATTAACGAGTATTTGGTAACCAAAACCCTTGATTAAACTTTAACTTTTTCCTTGAAAGATTAACTTTAGCCACTGATTATATTAAACAGCTATTAGCTCTAAAATGGGACTAAAAGTAGCCTAAAATTTCACATTAGGACTATACTTCTTTATTCTCAAAACGGAGTAATATATACGTCTCTTCTTCCTATTCTACCCCCAACTTATAATTTCTAATAGATTTATTTATTAATACAAAAAATCATAATTTTATTTATAATAAAAACATAAAAAATTGTAAAAATATTTATAAATTAATAAAAACTCGGGTCGGTTCGGGTATTCGCTGAATCGGTTCGGGACCCGAATTGAATCCAGCACTAGAAATAATACCTAGCTGAGAGAGAAAAGTCAATCTTCTAGGTTTGCGTGAGTTTTGCGGCGGCTTTGTTCGTCATCAGAAGAAGACCCACATGAGGGTGGGGGCGCTAGGGAATACAAAGTAGGCATCGGCGACGCGTGAGAAGGGCAATCGGCGGTAGGGGAGTCACTACCAGACGAAGGTGGAATCGTGCGGTGGTGCAGGAGCAGGCGGCATTGGAATACTCGGCCAATCATGAGGAAGGTGGAAGTTTCAGGATCAGAACAACTCAGGACCTGTGGCGGTGAACATATATGGGCGGCGAACCAGATTCAGGGGCCGAGTGGAACGTCTTGTTTGATGTGGCATAGGGAATCCCAGATTCTGGCAATGGAGGAAGAAGGCGAAGAGATGATGATCCGTTCCCCTCCTGAACCGCCGTCATAGAGGAACTGTGCGACTAGGGTTTGGAAGACTGTTTTACTATTTCCCTTTGGTTATTTTCAATCATGTCTGTTTTACTATTTCTGTTATGTTATTTTTATGATAAACAATAAGGGGGTAGATTGGTATTCTGGTTTGGTTTAGCTGATAGATTTCTATTTGGAGGCAATCGGGCTGACTCGGCCGCTTATAGCCTCTATGCTCTCATTGTTTCATCGATTAGTCTGATCATGACGTGAGGGGGGGGCGATGGGGTTTTGGGATTGCTTGGAAAGAGAGAGATATAGGGCTTAGGACATGATTGCTGCTTTGGTTTTTTTGAATTTAATAAAAGCTTTTTCCTTTCAAACAAAAATCGGGAAAAATAAAATAAAATAAAAAATGTTTTTTTAAAAAAATAAAAATAAAAATATTTTTAAAAACTTTAAAAAATCTAAAAAAATAAAATAAAATACCTAAAAAAATATTAAAAAATATGTAGGTCACTACCTCTTCATCCTCCACCCTCCGGCACCACCACCTCCGATCGCCGGAAAAAATGTCATCTTGTGTAAAAAAAACGCCACATTTCTAGGAAAAGACCATAAATATGACATTTTTACTCTTTCAAAACATCCAACTTTCTTTTCAAAATTATCATCACGATGACATTTTTTTCCCAACTTGGCAATCTTTTCCAATGACCGGATGTGGCGGTGCTAGAATGTGGTTGAGGTGGTGATTAAGGTCTGTATTTTTTTTATCTTTTTATTTTTATTTTTTATGTTTTATAATGATGATTTAAAAAATCCTATTAGGAAGGACAAGGGAAAGGGTAGAATAGGAAGAGTTAGTCCTATTTACAGAAATTAAACATTAAACTCATATTGTTGCAATTATCTTTTTATTTAGTCATACTAGCTTTCAAGCCCGTGCGATGCACGGGCAGTATGTAATTTAGCTAATTTGAAATTTAATTTCTATCTGATCACATATAATGTGATTTAAAAGAAAAATAAACTTAGTCTAATATATAGAGTCTGTTTGATAATTAACTTATTTTGCTGAAATTGATTGAATTCTGGTTAAATAGGTGGAATCTTCTGAATCATGAAAAATATATGTGAAATATATTCCATTTGTGAAAAAAAGAAAAAAAAATATGAAAAAAAGTTAAATTGGTTTCTACATAAGCATCTCAAGTAAACATAATTGTTATGAACCCAATAATAAAAAAAATCTATATTTCTTAATTGTTAGATCTTACAGTTTACTCATTAATAAGAACGTTTTTAATTGAATTAAAATTTCGGGTTTGATTTGGTATGAATTAATATGGTCTATTAGATGTCTGTTTTTTATGTGACTTATTGTTATAATTATTAAAGTTTGATCTGATCTAATTTAATCTGGAAGTGAAATCAATCCAATTAAAAACATTCCATTAAAATAAAAGTAGGAATTCGTTAACCTATAAAGATTTTCTAATTTGGATTAAGAATCTATTTCAAAAGTGAAGGCATATTTGAATTTTAGGTGTAAAATAAAGAAACAACCAAAAAAATTACTTATTTGGCTAAGCTAAACATATTTACTTGTGAAAATATATATACTTTATGTTGGTTATAATTTTTAATTTCATTTTTAATTATTTACTTATTTGAAGCTTACTAATTTATTAATAGGTGTCAAATTAATAAGTAAACTAATTTGCATATTTGTTTCTATTTAATTCGGTGTAATAAACTAATATAAATTAGTTTCCACATCATTAAACGTTATTAGAATTTCACTTTGATAACCAAAAATTATTTTACTTATTTGAAGCTTACCAAATTAAGTAAGGTGGATTTATAAGGATTTTTGTTTCCATATCAATATGCAATCAAAAATAGAATCTAATAAAAACAAAAGGTATAAAAATAAGTAAATAATTGTTATATATAATGACACGGCAGGATTATGTGGCGCTTTGTATGGAAATCTCCCTATATTAAAATATGCACGGAATATTTATGAAATTTTATTTTCCCTGTAAATATAAATAGTACTCCGTACTACTCAAGCACAATTTAAAGAAGGGGAGTACTTTTACACAAGAAAGATGATCAACTTAGAAAAGTTTATGAATGTCAATTGTTGGTACCTGTTTAATATGTAATTGGCGATCTTTTTTGTCACTGTCACTTTATAATATAATGTCACTTTTTGGAGTATTTATTATTCTCGTCTTAGCTGGTTTCTTTTGCAATATCCAGTTCTTTGATACTATCTTCGTCCCGTTGATAGGTTCTTATGGCAAAAGGGCACAATTATTTAAATAATAATTAAATAAGGTAATTCGGGTATAATTTGATAAATATTTTTGTTAGGTATATAATATAATGGGGTTAATGTTGATAACTAAATGTATTATTTTTCATATTTAATGATTAAATTTTCATTTAAGATGTTAATTGTTTCCTAAAATATAGAGTTCTTTAATACTTTTTATTATTATATATGTAAAGACATATTTTCTAAAAGTTAATTTGACATTACCAATGAGGGTCAAAACATAAATATATAAGCAAGAATTACATATTTATTTATGACTGAAATAAAGGTTATCTAAAAAATGTAACTTCGTAACTCCTAAGTGTAGTAACTACAGTAGTCACCCTGTGTTCAATTTTTACACTCAAGTGATCATGACACTATATTATAGTAACTTTTAGTCATATCTTTGTAAACAA